ACCGGCCGAGTTCCTGGTCCCGGGCCGGGGGAAGAGCCGCGGCGTTGCCGGCGGCGCCCGGGTCAGACCAGCTCCGGGGGCTCCGCGCGGGCCCGGCACGGAGCGGGGCGCCGACCTCCCGGAGCGCCTCTGCACACCCGGAACCCAACGCCTGAGCCCTGCCAAAAGGGGAGATTTCACTTGCCGCTTCCTATTTAAGAGGAAAATAAATACATTTTCAACACCCCTCAGGAACTGATGGTTTCCTGCTAGCATCTGCATTCACCGAGCCCTCAGTTCCCACTCAGCCCCCTGAGCTGCAGTTCTCTTTATTCCCAGTCCCTCTGCACATCTGGCCTGCCCGGGACTACAGCAGCGTTTTGCCGCTGACCGGAGAAAAGGAAGAAGCCCAGCGAGCCCATGAGAGCTGCAGCTGAGAAGATGAGCGCTGAGCGTGTTCGTGGCCATGGGGAGGAAGACAGCTGTCCAGGTCTTAGGTAAAAGCAATGCAATGAGAGGAAGTTATTGCGAAGAGAACAGGAAAGAGCAAATGGCAAATAGCAATTTGTAATAATAGTGCTGATAGGCAACAGACCCAGCAACAAACAATTGGTATTTAGAGAGGATGACATAAGAGCGACCAAAATTATTTTAGAACTGCTGAGCTGATCATATTGTTTCTGTGTTTTCCTTTGGGTAACTGATGGGATTAATCTTTAACGAGTCTGCATTTGTAGCTGGGCATAGCTCTTCAGCAAGAGCACTTCACGGCTCAGAGAACTTCCTTCCCGCTTGCCCTTGCACCTTGCTTTGCTTTTGCATCACTGTTGAAGGCGATGGTAAAACCTGGAGGTTGCAGCCCCATGCTCTGCTTGCCCTGCGCGACCTGGTCTTTGCAGTTCTTGAATGTGCAGCTGCAATTCCAAAATAATCCATTTGCTTCCGTAGGAGTCTTCCCGCATCCGCGCCTGCTCCGGAGCGCGGGAGGGAGCGGACGGCAGAGCTCTGCTCCGGCACGGCACCGTCACCGCGGCGGGAGACGGGGGTTAAAAATAAAGGGGCTGAACGCTCGCCCAGACCAAATGTTCTGTTCCTGTAAAACGTTCATGGCGAGAAGCGTTAGACTGTCTACCAGAACAGGAACTATTTTAGGAAGGGAGTCAGACTCTCTATCAAACTCAACAATTTGGTGCATGATGAATGTGTCGGGAGAATGTTCAAAAGTTAAAGTGGTGTTTTTGGATAAAAAGCCTTACTTGAACACTGTTTTTCCTAGCAGAACCAGTGCAAAGCCTGGATTTTTCCATAGCTTCCTCAAGAAAGATCAAAGTATGCAAAATAAAGTTACAGCTGTGGCTAACTTGACCGTGACCCCTCACCCCTTGCAGCCATCCAAACCCTAAGTGCAGGATAATCTATGGCAAAGACTAACCAGTCCTAGATAAATAATAAATGACTTTTTCTTCCTACTGCAGAAGAGCCTTGGAAACCCAATCCCGTTGTACATATGCTGATGTTACTATGTATAAATGCAAATAATCTCTGTTTACAAAGGTAATGACATCCACTGAGTGACCCACGGAAATAAAACTGCTCCGTTCTAATCCTGTGCAAGACAATTCTTGTTACATCTGATCTTCTAGCTGAGATCGTATATCTATGCCTCAGAATGATGCTTACAGACCTAGAATCCAGCTGATAAAGGACTTTTAGGATTGAATTTAACTGCATTGATGGAAGGTTCGTACGCACTTGCCCCACGAAGGCAGCTGAGCAGGGATGGAGCAGCACGGCGCGGCCAGCCCCTAACCCAACGATCGGAATTCTCACATTCCACATTCTGTCCGTAAATGTCAGGATGCTTCCCGGAGGAGGCGGATAAGGTCTCCTTTATTTTACAAACAAAGCTGCCACAGCCTGTTGGAAAACTGCATGAGGGCCGGTGTCAGCGCGGGGACAAGGCCCCGGGCGCAGGGAGCCCCACTCGGGTGCTGCTCTGCGCTCGTGTTCACTTACAGGGAACGGCTGTGTCAGCTGGGGCTCTCCTGGCTTTGAAGCATTTGCGTGTGGAAGCTTCTGAACGGATCCCCCTCAAAGGGACACCACACGTGCCAGCAGCGATCTGCTTGCAACGGAAAACGGGATCCGCTTGCAACGCCCTCGGGACAGGAGCGTTCTCACTGAGCACGATGGCTCACATTTATCCTGGGGAGCGCTGCGGGCGGCCCGACCTGGCCGGACCGTGTCCTTCCCACCAGGTCTCCCCCAGGATTCCTGGTTCTGGGGCACTGAAATCTGCAGACAAGACCCGCAGTGGGGAGGGCAGGGGGGGCACAGCCGGGCTGGGGCGCTGGGTTCCCGCTGCCCCCAGGGCAGCCGGCCCGGCTGCCTGTCACCCTGCTCCTGCTCCCCCGCTTTGAGGAAACGTGAAGCTAGTTCAGTTCCACCCTATCTTGACCGTATCGATTGTTTTAAACATGTTACTGCTGAGGAGATCATCTGCGGTTATTTTAATTAACACAGTCCTCTTTAGTAAATGCAATCTCAGCTCCCTGAAGCGTTTCGGGGTGCTGAGCCCTCCCAGCTCGGGCCGTTTCACGGCTCCTCCCGGCTCCCTCCCCGCCCGCAGCCCCCGCT